CTTTGTTCTTTGAACTTTGGCTGAATGTACACCTCACTTCATCTGGAACCAGTTTGTTTACACTTAAAAAGTTGAAGAACAGATTTCTAGTCTAAAATCACCAGAAGATGAAACTAAATTGGGACTGGAATTTTAAATATCATCTGGAGTATTACACACATAATGAAATTTCAATTCTCGAGGCGGAGTAGCAGTAGGGCGCTAAAACTAACAGTTATGACCGTTGGTGCTGCTTGTCGAAGGAAATGGTTTCTCCATTTCATCATCTTAGGGCTTGCATCCCCGATGGCCAAGCTTGCAAGCCACGAGTCATCTTGAAGAAACACTCCTTTCTTCTTTGGAGAAGGAGCTTTCGTCGATGGCTGGCTGCGAAAAGAAAATTACAAGAATACCAAAATATTTAAATTAAATTTCCTATATATCATGAGATAAAAATTATCGAGTAATCGATTTAGCGTTCTAATCAAAAGAAAAAAAGTTACTAACAAAAGATACGCCCAACTAAATTTTCCAAATGTGGAAAGCAGACAATATTGGTGGTGGTGTGAAAAAAAAAAGAAGGAAAAGTTGGAAAGGAGGAAGAATACCTGCTACTACTTTATCTTCCCTCCTTTTAACTAGTTTTATCTCAACTAGCAACTTTATTACTACGAGCAAAAAATAAGTCTTGTCTGCCTATAATGCCCCTCGTTACTAAGTGAGGTAGTTTATGAGACATATTTGATTCCTCAGTGAGGTAGAATTATGACATGAAATTAAGCACCATATGTGCAAATTTGTCTTGCTTAGTTGAATCAAGAGAGTCAATTTGGTCACGTCAAAGGTCAGCAGCACGTCCAAAAGTGCAGAGGCACAAAGCATAAAACCGATTCTTCATTAGTTGATGCTTTTAAAAAGCCATTTGTGAGATAATTTTAAAGAATAGCTGAGATTTTATTTAGTTTAAAAAGAGTGCTCTGCTGCTTTTTCATACAGTTTGATCATTAGAAGGGGGGAAAAAAGAGGGATTTTAGATATTTTAGATATTCATCTCTCAAATATTTCCGTAAGTAGAATTATACACCGGCTTTTATCAAAATGTCGGGGATGATCAATACATATTGTTAATGATCTTGATAGTCGAGTTTTTTTAGCTTATGAAAAAGAGTGCTCTGTTGCTTCTTCATACAATTTGATCATCAGGAAAAAAAAGGGATTTTTCGATGTTTTAGATATTTATCTCTTGAATATTCCATTATCAAAAAGTCAACTATGGTCAAAACATATTAATTAATGGTCTTTTTTGTCTCGCTAGGATATATTAATGATCAAGTCTATATGTATTACGTCAGTAACATATTGACTAGATGTATGGTGTGAGACATCCTTCAAATTATAAGAAGTGTTTTTAAAAATATCTTTCTGTCGTCAAATCAAAATATACGGCTGGCATGACACGCCGCCCCCAAATCATCAAAAGTGTTTTTGAAATATCTTTTTGTCGGTCAAATCAAGATAAATGCCTGACACATCCTACAAATCATTAAAAGCATTCTTAAGAAAGATATCTTTTTATCATCTAACATAAACATTTTCAACTCCCTAAAATCTAAAACTTTCTTGAACTTTTAGTTTTTCTACCTTACCTTGGCACTGAATCAGGGCAAAATGTGATGGTGTAATCAGCACCAGAGCAAGTGAAGGTGGACGTAGCATCATCATACGCATAACTGTAAGATCTCGGACACGCAGATTTGAACATCTCAGAGTACACGGATGGCTGACACGTGTTCGGGTTCGCAAACTCGCCGCTGCAGCAGTACTTCGGCGTACCGAACGCCTCGCAGGCACTCCGGCATCCATCTCCAGCCGCTAGTTTAAGTTCATTAGGACATTGACGGTTCAGATCGGCCGCACATCCGGTGGCTGCGCACACGCCGGTGCCGCCGTTAGCAACCACGAGCACCGGCATGTTGTACCTAATAGTAGAAGTAAAAAGGGGTTAATGCATACACATCCCATATATTATGCATTTATTATGGAGTTACCTATTCATTATCTCTAAAAAAAATTATTGGCACATTAATTAAGCTTCTGATCTTGAAAAAATAATACTTTTGGTGGTTGTATCTATCACGCAAACGTAACGAGGAGATTCTCTAATTAATATTTCAATATGTTGATTCTTGTTTTATGAGAGTTAAATATATGAAACAAAAATCAGCGGGAATCATTCTGCATGGGAGCAGATATTCTGATATCTACATTAGAGAATGATTGAATCTTAACCATTCATAATAATTAAAAGAACAGTTGTGATTCGACCATCCAAGTGAGATGACTGTAACATTTTATATTGGATCTCAGCCATTCAAAAGTAATGAAAGGAGGGTTCAGATTCAACTATCCCAATTGTAGTACAAGTACACGTAAAAAGGAGAGATAATTCTGTTAGGATATTCTAATTAAAAAAAAAAAGTTAAAAGGCTTTGTTTAGCAACCCAACAAAAGCCAGGCCAGAGTTGGTCGAGATCGGGGGAAGATCAATTCTGGCCTGGTTTTAACAGCTGAAAATAGCTTAAGAAAAGTCTAGGCCAATTCTAGTCGGACTTTTCCCAAACACAAAATGGATTAATCTACTTGGCATAGTTTTAATGAGTTGCCAAAACAGCCCCTAAGAATATATAAATATGTTGCACTCGGTATATATGCAACTTACCCCCTTACTTCTCGAAAAAATGCAAGTAACCCAAAATACCAATTAAACTCACGTACCCATCAACAAGGCTAACATCATAAAAATCCTTCCCATCATCCCCGTCAAGCTTAAACTCCGCCAACGTCGCCGGAGGCGTAGCTCCGGCGCCATTACACTCAATCTGATTCGACCCGCAATCCCCGGTGGTACAATTCCCCCGACCCGATCCATCAAATGTGCATCCGGCTCGCGCCCAGAACCGCCCAGCCCAGCCCGACGGAGCCTTCAACGTCCGGGTCTCACCGGCATTCAGAACAAAGCCCGTGCACCCCATCGGGTCGCTGCCGGCATTCGACAGCACGCCGGGCCAAACTGTATAGTCACACTCGTTCACTATAGTGAAGGTGGAAGATAGAACTCTTTCTGTACAAAGGAGGAGGAGGAGGAGGAGGAGGAGGAATTGAGTCATGGTTGAGTATTTGAGAATTGAGGAGGAGATGAGAGAATGAAGGATTTGTTTTGTGGGGGGGTGGGGGTGGGGGGTTACTTAAGAGAGGGCGAGGTGCTGGAAGCGGAGGAATTGATGGGGCCATAAAATGATGGTAGTGACAAATGGGAGTGCAACTAACTTTGGAGGGATTGGATAAAATACAAAATTGGGGTTTTGTAGTTTTTTTAGTTGATGGGACACGTGACAGACCTTTGTGATGGAGTTCGACCGCTGAAAATTTTTGTGCAAGTGGCTGAAATCAAAGCGAGGAATTAAGCAGGTACAGCTCTCAATTTTGAACCAGTTACAAAATTGATTGACCGACGGCTCAGCTGTAAACTGAAATGTCAAGTGGGGGTGAGTCTGAAATATTTCATTCTATTCTAGAAATTCTGGTGCAGGTGATGCACGCGTGTAGGGCGTCCACATGCGCTTCGGGTCGGAACCCCAGGCTCGCTTGGCTTCGAGCCCGGGTCCGGACCGAGGTGGTGAAGCTCTATCTGGACTAGCCTCGTCCGATTATATATATTTATAATTATATTTTTATATATATAATCGTAGCATGATATAATCATTAATATATGCTTAATATACTTACATATACATTTCTAATGTATACTATATATAATTATAGTATGATATGGTTATTAATGTATACTTATATATACTTACATATAATATATAACTATATACTAGTATGTAAGTATATATTAATACATACGTATATAGATATAATAAGATTAATCTAAATTTTTTATCAAATTTTAGCTAAAAAATCAAAAAACAATCCGGGCCAGCACGGTTTGGCCCGGACCCAAGCCCGGCCCAGACAACCCGGGTCCGGATCTAGGCTAGGCATTTGCCCCGTCTAGACCCGGAAATTTGGGACGGACCGGGCCGCCCGTTTGGATAGGACTACACACATGACATAAAAATATGATAATGTTTTTATGTTGATTTTCAAAGGCGATGACATTTATGTTGATTTTCTCAAGTGCAATGACATTTCCGTCGTTTTTTTGCAAGAGCGAAAGTATTTTCTCTTCTTTTCTTTTTCTTTTCAAGCTGTAAGGGCATTTTTGAAATTTCTAAAAGCTTAACAAACAACCAAACAGGAGGCTTTTTCATTCTCAAACAGAAAAGAAGGGAAAAAAGGGTGAGTTTTAAAGCAATGGCACTAAAATATATGCATATTAGGATTCAAACCATTAACCATAGAACATATGACATATATTATGCTCTCCAAGCTTTTCTCGTGTAAAGCTGTATTAATGAATCGGATAAGGGATAAAAACTTTCCGATAGACTCTAGATGAGCCAAATCCTTCACATTCCTTTATTTACAAAAGCATTTCCCTCATCATCCCCACTACTTTTTTCTTTACTCGGAAAGCATATGCGCAGTAGAGAGTTATATATATGAGATTAATGAGTATCCTTGTCATAGGAGGAGATTTCCTCCTTGACGTCTATGTGGCATAATCTCCATCATCCTCATAAAGTAGGAGAGAGTGTGTGAGTTGGTGGGGATTTATGCTTACTTTATGAGGATGGTGCGGATTGTGTCACATAAGCCACAAAGAGGGAAATCTCCTCGTATGACAATGATACTATATATATATACGGTTTTTCTATAGAGTGCCCTTGGGCACTCTATAAGAGAGGAGAGAGATAAAGAGAAATGAATGAGGAGGGGGGGGCCCTGATTTGCATTGGGATCCTCTCTTCATTCATTTCTCTCTATCTCTCTCCTCTCTTATAGAGTGCCCAAGGGCACTCTATAGAAAAACCGATATATATATATATCAAACTTTCAAGCTTTAAAGGCTCATAGAGTCTCAAGTTTGAATATTTTAGGCACAGAGTTTTCTAAGTGAACTTATCTGATTCATACACAGTGGCTATCCCAGTCACATGTCTTATGTTTGCAATTAATTTGAACCTCGCATTTTTTTTCGTTATCCATTTGCATCTTCAAATGCGTCTCTTCTCTAATATAAGCACAGAAAGAGGGTGTTTGGATTAAACAACTAAACCCCTCACATTGTTTAGGTTTTTTTTCAGTGGAACGTGGAGGGTTCTCTGTTTAGTACCTCGTATTTAAAAGGGGACGTCATTTGAGTAACTGAGTTATGCCACTATGCTTTCCTCCATAACGACGAATGGTGCATATTTTCAATTTGAAAACCAAATTTTATATTTGTATTTTTAAATATTCCATCCCGAGTATCAATTGTAGTCTTGACCCTAGAGCCGTGATGCTTATAGTTGGGCCTCAAATAGCCTGCACCCCTCTCCATTAATTGGGCCGGACCAACCCTCCTTTGATTTCCTTGTGTCCCTACTCTGAAGCACTAGAAATGAAATCTCTTTTACTATGGGCATTGTCTTTCTTTTCATTTCTTTTCTGTCACAGTAGGATTTTGGATGTGCATTGTCTTTCCTTTTGCTTATAAAGGAAGAATTTATCATACTTTTCAGAAGAGAAATTTTTATGGACGCTTAATAATTTTGAAATTTTTATTGATTATAAGATATTGGGTGTTTGGAAATTTTGAAGGGATAATTTTGGTAAGAAAGAATAGATGTATGACAAAGAATAATGAAGTAAGACTAAGGGAAAGTTTGGTATTATTTTTTTAGGGTGCTTCCGTTCATTTTTTTCAAAAAGCACCTAATAACGGTCTTTAGCGAAATTTTTTTGACATGCTTATTAAAATTTCTTCTGCTTTTAAGGATATGCTTTTAGAAGCAAACTTAAGATACTTTTTAAAGTAGATTTTTGTTTTATTTTTTGGTTTATTTATCATATGTATTTTTTATCTTTTACCAATGATCATTAAGCACAATACTATCAAATAACTTAAGTGTCTTTTTAAGCACTTTTTTATATTTGATTACCAAATAACTATTTTAGCAGTTTATACAAGTTGCTTGTGTAAACTTATAAGCTCCAGCAGTACCAAACTAAACCCTCACTCTTTGACTCAGCCATCATTTTGGTCCCCCCAAACAAAGAAGATATATATACTAGGGATAACTAAAATCATTATAATAAATAATTTGTTATATAAATGAGTCACTGGCTCACGTTTACATAGAGAAATAGGGGAAATGAGAAGATCTTCTCTTTTCTTTTTCTGTTTTTCAAAACAAATTGGTTCAGTTCACTTTCGGAATAAAACTTTTTTTATAACTGAATCCTAGTCTTCACCGATTTCGTTTTCGATCAGCACGATATGTTGTTGCGAAAAAAAAGAGCCATGCCATGTGTGAAGTTGCTTTGGTCGCCATGCTTGTGAGTTCAATGGCTTTCGAGTCTCAGCAATCTTCATCATCTGAGTCACAATGTCTCCAGATTTGCTTCTTTTTTTTTTTGGCTTCGCATGTGTTCTTGCTCCGAGGAGAGCCAACACAAGGACCCTGTCCTTTATCCTGTCCCAAATTTGCACCTTGTCTCCACCGTGACCCTTTAACTAACATAGAGCAATTTCTCCTCCGCACGCCACGCCAACACCCCCCCCCCGCCCCCCCCCCCCTCCCCCCAAAAAAAAAAAAAAAAAAAAAAAGAGTAACAATGGATTACGGTTTTCTTTCGTAGAACTGGGAAAGAATACTGGACTTCATATCCGATCTACAAACGTTTTAAGCTAAAGTTTTGTCGGTTGCAATCTATGAAATCGACCTTTCTTTTTTCTCCCTTGATCATTTGGAAACAAACATCCCGTTCATCTCTACAGGCTCTTGTTACTATTGAATACTGATACTAGCATCAGCCAGCACAATTTCCCAAACCCGCTAACAAAAGTCCATTAATTACAAATTTTTAAACAAAACTAGCAAAATTTCCCCGACTAATCTCTCACCAATCACAGATTTATAAAGAAACAGTCCCCCAGGAAAAAAAAATTCCAAATTCACTTCCTAAAAAACCAACACCCCAACCTCCTTTCCCTCCGTCTCCCTCTCTCTCTCTCTCTCTCACCTGTCACGTGCTTTCCTTCTTACCATGAAACGCAGTCCTAACACAACTTAATTTAGTTAACCAGGATCTACTCCTAAATTTAATTAAAATATTTTCCCTAACAACTTCTTATCCCCCCTCTTATAAATAAACCATCTCTCTCTCTCTCTCTAAACCTCTCTCTCTCTCTCTCCCCTCACAATGGCAAAATCTCTCTCACTCCTCCTCCCTCCTCTCCTCCTCCTCCTCCTCCTCTCGAAACCCCCGACAACCACCTCCACCTCCTTCACCTTCACCAACAACTGCCCCTACACGGTCTGGCCCGGGATCCTCTCCAACGCCGGCACCGCCCCCTTCTTGGGTCCGTCGACTGCAACGGCAACGGAGCGGTACCGCCGGCCACCCTCGCCGAGTTCACCCTCAACGGCAATGCTGGCCTCGATTTTTATGATGTCAGCCTCGTTGATGGCTTCAACGTGCCCATGTTGGTGGTCCCACAAGGCGGTGGCGGTAAGCTTAAATTATGGATCAAATGTAATCAATTAAGGCTTGTGTAAACTCTAAGTGGATAGGAGATTTTCTCCACCAATTTTCTTATTTATTTATTTTTTATTTTGAGGTTCTCACTATCGTATTATACAAATCAAGGCGCGCATAGCAAAGATATATATCTTTAAACATGTTAATACGACTCCCAAAACAAACTTAATAAGTTCTTTATCAACTTAAGTTTGTTCGAACTTTACTCAATATAGTCTACGAGAAATAATGTGCTTGGATATCGATGCTTTGTTCTCCTAATAGTACTTACACAAATGAAAACATTTGTCTTATATATAGAAGGCTTCGTATAGGAGTCCTACTCTAGAAAAAAAAATAGATCCCAAAAGGGATAGTCAGACTAATTTACCTCCGCAATTATGGTTGTTAAAATATAAAATGATAACCATCAATTCTCATCACAACATTAAAGTTTTAAGTTAATTTAGTCAGAGGGACTTTAAGAATCGTCGTCATCGATAGAAGCGTCCTCTGATGACGGTGGCAGCACATT